CGTCAGGGGGCATGCGCGGGGAGCGTCGGGCGCAGGGACGCCGGCCCTCAGCCTGGGGCCACGCCCACTCCGCCTGGCCCCGCCCACAGACGGGAGGACACGCCCATGTGCGGGGAGCTAGCGCCAGGCCCCAGCGCGCGCGCGCGCCTCCCGCAGCCCGTGTTGGGCACTGTAACAGAGGGCAAGGAAGTGGGTACCTGGGAAGACCTTGAGCATCTCTCCAGTTGGAAAGGGTTGACCCACTCCGCTCACTCATTCACCAGCCACATTGAAGAGGGCGCCCCTGTTCATTCCCTGACCTAGGCGTCTGCCCTCAAGGACCCTCACCCTAGGGAGGGCGCAGAAGGCACCCCAGGAATAGAAATGTAATGGGAAGGAGACTGTTGGAAAGCTTGTGTCTGGCCAGTATGAGTGGGGCCTGGTCAGCATTCAGAGCAGCTGGGCTGTGGGCAGCTGGATACTCTGGCGGGTATTTCACCGGGGTGTGTGGAGTGGTAGAGGAAAGGCTGGAGCAGTGGTTCAACCCAGGGCCCCAGGCTGTCATTGCCTGCATGGGGTGTGTGGCCAGGCGCCTTGCAGGTGTCTCCTCTCGGACTTCTCATCTCTGCTGCACAAGGAAGATGCTGCGGTGGGAGTCACACAGCTGGTGAGTGACAGAGCAGGCCTTGAAATTTAGCCAGATCCTCCAGCTCAGGTCGGTAAAGCCGCTGTTAGACAGGCAGAGCTCCTTCGTGCTCTCAAGACTGGACCTCCAACCCATGGTGGAATTACCCAAGCAGAGCTCCAGTGAGGACACCAGCAATTCTTCATTCTGAGGATAGAGCAGTCCAGGCACTGTCAGGAGAGGTAGCTCCAAGAGGGTGGAATCATAGGCGTTCCTTTGAAGAAAGAAGGCATGTGAGGATAATGTGGACATTAGAGCCCCAGAGGTCATTGGGTAAACTGTGCCGCACTTGGAAACAAAAAAGGTAGGTATGAGTTCTTCTTATTTGTCAGAGCTCTCTACATTTTAAAGATCCTGTTCTTTTGTTTATATGCAAATGTTTGTCCTGCGTTTTTTGTTTTTAAATTTTACCAGTGTTTTGACATATAAATTATCAGTACTTGTGTGGTCAAATTATCAGTCTTTCTTGCATGTTTAATTGTATCTTCACCACCTGTCGAGTGTGAGCTTCCTGAGGACAGGGACTGGCTCTGGACATAGGGTCCCCCAAATCTAGGCCAGACCAGCAACTTCTGGAACCCCTCCCCAGCCTTTCCTCGCCCCTCCCTCCAACCATTGTTGGAGTAATAGCATGTAAGTGCATCTTACAGTGTGATTTTTTTCCCGAAGTTGCCTTTCTCATGAAAAACCCTTCCTTTGGAACCCAACTCTAAAGTGGGGCCTATAAAAATATGTTGCAGTGGGTGGCACAAACATCTTCTATATCCTGGTGAAGGCCCAGCAGGAAAACATGTGTCCAGAGGGCTACAGCCTTGAGGATCAGAGGAACTTTAGCCCTGGCCCATGCCCTGTTTCCAGTTCCTTCCATGAGAACCCACAACCTGCACTTTTCCTCCCTTTTGTCCAGGCGCAGCACTTGGGATGGGCCAGCACAGCTGTTTGGGGAGAGCAGGGAGAATCCAGCACCCTCAGCCCAAGCTGGCCCAAGCTTCCCTGGGTCTCTGTCCAGATGCAGGAGCTGCTCAGAGATAGAAGGCAAGGAAGGACAGCTCTGCCATCAGGTGTGACCCTGGGTGCTGCTTTTCAGGTGGGAATGGTCCTCACAAATGGGCCCTTTGTCCTCAGCTTCCCCTGGCCAGGGGCTGCATTGTTGTCCCCAGAGAATGGCACAATGGGGCATTGTGCACAACAGAAAGGGACCCCTTGTCTGGCCTCCAGCTTGCTGCGCTCTGGGTTCCTTCCCTCTCTGGGTTTGCCCGGGGTGGGAGAGGCCATCGAAGAGGTCTGCTGGGCCCTCCCGTTCTCATGTTTCCTCCAGGGTCCTCCTTCCTGGGAGCTGACCGCAGAGGTCCAGTTCATCTGAGGGAGTGGACCCCACCGACCGGGCTTGGGCACCGGATGGGCTGGCCAGCGGCTCAGTTCTTGCCCATTCAGCCTGGATTTAATCAAAAGTGCACTGGTATATTACTCAGTCATAAAAAGGTGTGAAGTACTGACACATGCTACAACATAGATGAACTACAAAACCATCATGCTAAGTGAGAGAAGCCAGACACACAAGGACACATGTTGCCTGATTCCATTTATATGAAATGTCCAGAATAAGCAAATTCACAGGACAAAGTAGATCCATGGTTGCCAGGGGCTGGGGGAGGGGGAGAGGAGTGGCTGCTAATGGGTGCAGGGTTTCCTTGTGGGTGAGGAAAATGCTCTGGAACCCGATAGAGGTGGTAGTGGCACAGTACCATGGAAGTACTAAATACCACTGAATTGTACACTTAAAAAGGCTTAATTTTACATTATGTGAATTTCACTTAAAAAAACCCACACAACTAAAAAAAAAAAAAAGCCCTGTTGTTGTTTCAGAATCACCTACAAGGCACTGCTGTTTTACCTGTGAGGATAGGTCATGTCATTCACACCAAACTTACCTCTTCATCTATATTAGGGAACATGGAACAGTTTTAGAATAATATTTAGATGTGGGTATGTCTTAGGCCCCACGAAGATGCTCCACTTAAAAACAAAGCAAACCTTTCCTGCAAACTTTGGGCCCACCACAGTGCCCAGAGCTCGTGCTGGAGAGGCACCAGGATGCTTTGCAGTCAGCCAACAGCTCAGTGCCTGTGCCACAGGCACACTGGGGTCTCCACCAAGCAGCCGCTCACCAGCACCAGGGGACTGGGGAGGGGTGCACTACTGAACCTACATTTTCAAGTAAAATACAGTATGAGAAAAAGTCAAGCCGATAAGGGAGAGGCTGTGAGGTGCTGAGATGAGGCCCAAGTGCTTGGGGCTGGTCACAGGAGGACCCAGGGCCGAGCCAGAGAGAAAGCTGAGAAAAGGAGGTGGGAGAAAAGGGTGGGGCTCCCCTGAAAGAAGCTGTCAGCTCAAGCTTGGGGCTAGTGTTGTGGAGACCCACAAACAAGCTGAGATCCCTAGGTGGGCCCATGTCCCCGATGGGCCCACAGCTCCTCTAGCTCGGCTCTAGAGCCAGGACACATACAAACCTGAGGGCTGGCGGCAATTCCCAGCAGCTGAGAGACTACTTCACAGAGGAATGAGCCCCGTGTCAGCACCTTGTCCAGCTGTCCCCAGGCACCCTGGCCTGCCTGGCAGCCACCGCCGCATCAGGGCAATTGTCTCTGACGTGCCTTTGCAGCTGTCTCTGGCACCCATAAGAACCCAGCTTGGGCCCGAATCTAATCGTGCACCCTTCATTTACCCTAATTTTTCATGTCTTGACATCTGTTGATGGGAGGGCAGGACCCACTGGCACTAACATCTGTCACTTTCTCTGGAGGGGTGATCAGTTTGGGCCTGTCCCACCATGACTGTCCAGTGGCCAAAACTCTCTGGTAAGGCTGGCAGGTGCGGGTGAATTGGGCAAGCAGGTGCTGGGCCATTTGCTGGTTGTCCTGGAACCGTGACTCACTCACAGACGGCTGTTCTGCTTGGCTCACCCAGCTCTTCTGCTGGCACCCGAAGCTCCAGGCCCTGAGCATTGCTCTGCCTGTAACCCAGAGGATGTGGCCCTGTGTGGCCCGGTGAGCTGATGAGCCATGATTGCTTGGCAGAGTAGAAAGCAAAAAATCCCAATTCTCTGGTTGGAGAGCTCTGTGGGGTAAAAGCACGTGTAGTTAAAATTTTCTTTTTTCTTAGAATCACATTTTGAACTGGAGGTAATCTTGGGAATTGCCTAGGCCAGTGGTTACTAATAGGAGGCCCCTGAGCTGAATCCTGCCCACAGAGATGTATCAGTTATTGATTGCTACAATAACGCTGTCTAAAAAAAATCACAGTCCTGTGTCAGCCAGCAGTGCTACCCATCCAAGCTGGGCTCCGACATGCATCTGTGCTCAGCTGAGGTCCGGGTGGCAGCTGGGCCCTGGCTGGCCGTTGGGATGACCAGGACCTCTCTCTAGCTGTCCATAGGCCCCACCACTTCTTACAACTTCCTCTGCAGCAGCTTCCACATCCCCTCTCTGCCTGGTTCCTGATGCCACTTAAGTCCAAGACCCCTGATTTGGCCCAAACCTCTTATTTCATGGTGGGGGAGGGGAGCTGAGGGGAAGCTTGTGCCCAACACCATCCATCACCTGGTCTTCCCTTCCTGTGACCCTCCCCCAGTGATTAAAGCACACAACCCATTTCTGGAGAGTGGGCGGCCTTCCTGTTACATGTGCTCCTTGAAGACATGCCCAGATGGGCCCACCCGCAGATGATAATGGGTTCACAAGCGCAGAAAATACAACAAACACCAGGTGTTGGCCACTGCATGCCTGGCATCTTACATACATCAACCCACACAGGCCCAGTGGTGCCCCTCAGGACAGGCACTGCCCAGAGTGACCCCTTAACTCGCCCAAAGTCAAAGGGCCACAGAGGACAACAGCAGGTCCCGTGACCTTAAACACTCTCCTTTCCAGAACCTCAATGCCTTCTTGGGGGAGCCTACAACTCCCTCCTACCTCTTTCCACACCCCAAGGGCAGTTGGCAGCCCCAAATGACAAACCATTCTGCGGTTCCTCCTCTTATATTTCATAGAATGCTTTGTCAGCCTGAGCTTCTGCAGGGCAGGGCCCTGTGGGTCATCACCCTCTGTCCAGCACCCATGCAGGCCTGGCATGGTGTAGCTCCAGAATTGTTTATGGGAAAAGCTACAGAAAACACTCTCCAGGATCTCATGTCACGGACCCATGAAGTGTCTGCATGAGGTGCTTTCTCTCAGGATGGTCATACATGATGAAAGTCACCAGAAATGTGCTTCTAACCCCCTCAGGTTGTATATCATTACTTCCAAGGAACACTCAAGAACTTTCAGTTCATTTATGCAGACCACCTCTGCAAAGCCCACTCAGTGCCTGTCGAAGGAGAGGCTATGGACCCTCAGCCATTAGGAAGCCCCAATGTAACTGCCCTTGAGGTCCCAGCTACCTCCTCTGATGACCAGTGAGGGATGTAGCCTAGACAATGGGTGCTCCTGCTCTCGCCTGACCAGGGAGCCAGTTTCTTCTCAAACTGACATTGGAGGTGACTAGGTGGGAACTGCCAATTTGAGCAGCAAAGCTGGAGCATATTCCGTAGTCCTAAGGTCCTGGAGGACAAGGGTGGGTGGCTGCTGGGTCCTATCTACTCATGCCACTCCCCACAAGGAAGGGGACATGAGGATTTGCAGTCGAGAGAGCTGGGGTCTGCACTAGTCAGCTCTCTTTGCCAGGCCCTGACAGACCAACGCAAAGGGGACCTGACAATTTCCCGCACCTCTGTTCCTAATCTAGAGCCTAGGGAGGCAAAGCTTTGCCACGCTGTTGTTGAGCCTTCCAGATGCCAGCTTCTTCAACAGCTCAACTGCCTCACTTTGCAGAGGGACCATGCAGCTTCCTTCCACTTTACCCAATGTTCCTGCCTGAGGGCATCTTAATTAAACCCTCCTTCACCATATTCAGGAAAAGAAATACCTGGGAGACAGCAGAAATCTTTTGACAGGTGTGTTTCCATTTGCCTGTGGTATTAATGGGTCTCTGGAACCTTCTGTCTGGTAGAGGCAGTCGGGGCACCTTACTCAGAAAGAGTGTTTTTCTCTGTGGTGTGTTTACCTCCATCCCCCACATACTTTTCCCAGTCACACTTGACACAGGGCCCCACTTCAGAGGGGTTCACATTTGGACATCCTGAACAAGAAGCCTCATCCAATCTGAAAACTGAGCTTGGAAGGACTAGCACAGCTCTCAGCGCCTATTTGGGTTCAGAATACTGATTTTCTAGAGTTCACTTTGATGTCCTGGCTGCCCTCCTGCACTTGGGCTGAGAAAGCCTCTCCTGACCCTTGTGGCTTCTCAGAGTTCAATACCCAGAAGACAGAGGAGCTTGACACACAGGCCTAGAGGCCCAAGGGAGGGTGAAGGGCAGAGGTCCAGGAGGTGAAAGCCCAGAATGAGAATGGGATCCAAAGGAGTGAGGATCTGGAATGCGGCTGGATCTGGGGGTCCTGGGAAGTGAGGGTTAGAAATGGGGCTGGGGTACAGGACAGTGAGTGCCTGGGGTAGGTGCTGGAGTCCAGGGATCCAGGAGTCTGGTGTCCTGTAGAGCTCTTCTGCATGGACAAGGAATGGAATTTATTGGCTTATGGGATGGAAACATCCAGGGGAAGGCATAGTCTGATTCTGAGTTTCTAACACTTTAGCAGACTCAGTTTCCTTAGTAGAAGATGCTGCTGGGGCCTGGCCTTGACCCCTGGTGCTCTCTTTACTGACGGAGGGCTGCATGTTGAGATCCCCACGACCCTGCCTGATGATGTTTTTTGGCTGCAGAAGCACCCTCTGTTTGCCATCAAAGAGATGTCATGCTGAGACCTAATGGCTGCTGGTGGGGTCAGTGGTCACAACCTGGGGAGAGATGAATGGGCACAGCCAGAGACTCGGTGACTGCTCTCAGCAGGGGTGAGTAGAAGCCAGAGCTGAGACCACAGCTGTTCCAGACACATCTGCACACCCACATGACACCAGGCAATCACATTGGGGGTCACTTCCCAAGCATGGGACCAGTGCCCATCACAGGCTGGCCCAGAACACCCTGGTCCTACAGGCAGAGGGGAGGAATCCAGGCATGACCTTCGTGTCCTCTGAAAACAAGGAAGGGTGAGGGACACGACCAGTTCCCAAGCGGACATCAGCCCAACCAAAGGGCCAGCTTTGAGCCCAAACCAGAACTTCCATGCCAGCTGGCAAACTAAGTCGAGGAGGGGGTTTCAGTAAAAGCTTGGCCCAGAGCTCTGAGTCTGTTACAGGGGACACTTGACTCCTGTCACCGCTGTGAGCCCCTCTCCTCTTTTTGGAGACTCAGGAGGGCAGGATGAGGCTTCCATGATGGAGCTGCTGTTAAGAGCCACTAGCCCATCTCTGCCCTGGACATTTGCTTTCTGCGGATCAGTCAGTAATTAAGAGCACCAATTAATCTCCGAGGCTGAGCCAGGGTTTTCAGGATGTGATGCTGAGCTCCTCAGGCTGGCTCATAGATAGGCTCAGGCCAGGACTGCAGACACAGGCGACGTGCTGGCATTGGGGCTCACGGGCCCAAGGAGCCTGCCCCCAACACCTTTCTCTTAAAGACTGTAAAAACTATCAACATGGCCTCCCCGACTGTCCAAGAGCAGGGCCAGGCAGAGGATGGGAAGGGCAATGCAAGGAGTGACAGCAAGGCACCCTCCTCCATGGTGGCATTTAGCCCTTAGCAGTCCCTTCCTTCCTGCTCAGCCTCTCCAGTGCCCAGCACAGATGGGCTTCCTGATAAGACATGGGTAGAGAGGGTTGGGGGGCTGTCTCTGTGCCTGGAAGAGGTTTCCTAGAGCTCTCCAGGTCAAGATTGGCCAGGCCCCAGGTCTCATATGCATAGGGGGTGCTTCCAGCACACCTCCTTCTTTGCAGGTGCCCTGGGGCCTCTAAGAGGCTGCATGGGTACATCAGCTTTCCCACGCTCCAGGGTCCAGACTTAGCCAATCAGATCATTTCCCTGGAACCACAAAACCCACTAAATGAAGGTGAGGTCAAGTGGAGTGGGTCAGGTGGGAGCAGGAAGGAAAAGCTGAGAAGGGGAGGCCAGGAGGTGGATTGAGAGGAGGCTCAAAGAGGTGTCCCTCAAATTTTAAGTCACTGTGGCCTCCCTATTCTCCAATACCCTGTGCTTTCTGCTGCCTCAGGGCCTTTGCATATAACCCCACACCCACCCAGGAAGTACTCTTTCCTTTCTCTCTGAGAAATTGGAAGCTTCAGGTCTTAGCTTAATTGTCACCTCCTCAAAGCCACCTTCCTGGACCCCCACCCCATGTGGTGAGTGTTTTGGCCCCTTGGTGTGTCTGCTGTTAGCCCCCTCCTCAACTCTAGCACCTTCTGGACAGGAACTGTGCACTGTGGTTTCTGTGCTGTGCTGCCCAGAAGAGCCCCTGGCACAAAGCAGGGCTTCATCAATACTGGTGAACACAAGAACCAAAGGCAACCAGCTCTTTCTCTGAAGGCTACATCCTGGTTTCCATTCAGGACACACCTAGTGGCTGAAGACATGAACCAAACTGGTGTGGCATGTGTGGCCCCTCGGGTCAGCAGCCCATCCTGGAGTGTGGGGGCTGCACCCTGAGTGCTACCCTCTTGAAAGTACACACATTCGCTCTCAGTGGCCTAGGCCAAGCCCTGGTGGGGAGCTGCCCCTCCCCACCCATTCCATTGGATGGGTGGCCAGCACATATACAACAGAGGCTGCCCACTAGCAGCCCCTCATCAGTCCCAGGGTGGTCAATGCAGCCCTGTAGGGCCTAGGACCACACATGCCACACCACTGTGTGACCTAGGTCTAGCACTGGACTCCCCCAGTTCAGCCTCTTTCCCTCCAAGGGTCCTAGAAGTCACTTGTCTGTGTCTTAGGCACTCGGGCGTGGCTGTGTGATGCCCCTTGGTAGTGAGTGGGTGGGGAGCAGGGAGAAGCTGCCTTGCCTGGCACATGCAAGCAGCCCGTGCCTCATTTTCCTGAGAGCTCTTCTTGAAAACCCAGAGGCCATACTGGGTGCAGGAAGGGGGTGGGATCTGCTCCACAGGGGCAGGACAGTTTGGGCCAGGTCTGCCATCCATGCCCCCTACCCTTAAACCCTTTCACTTGCATGGGTCCGTCGAGTGGATGCCCCCAGGCAGCTCCCACTTCAGCCTTCCTTCAGTGTTCTCTCACTGCAGAGTGGGGACCTGTAGTGGAAGGCAGGACCTCCAAAGGAGAGACACTGCAGGCAGCAGGGAAGGGTGTTCCTTGGCAGGTCACCCAGCAAAAGGAGGCAGGTGGCAGGAAGGCAGGCAAGAGGAGGACCACTCTGGAGATCAGCTCTCCCCCTGCCATCAGGTGAGGGTTTCCCAGCACACGTTCACCATAAAGAGCAAGTGCTGCCCCCACCCCCTGGGGCATTTTCCCCTTAGGTGAAAAATGGGGCTCACTGACCTTTGGCAAGAGGGTTAGTCCATGAACAAATACAAGAGAACCTTCCAATCACCCGCAGGTGGCAGGAATCCTGGGCCAAGCATTCCAGATGCAAGGGCATGCAAGGCTGCAGGACCGGACCGACCTCGCAGTGAGGCAAGGGGCGGTAAGGACGGTCGGGACCGACCGGCTCTAAGCTCTAAGCGCCGCAGCTCCGTTTCTAAAGAATTCACAGCGCCGGCGGGGGCAGAGCCGCTGGGTGCACGGTCTCCTGTGCCCGGGCGAGGGCCGGAGGCGCGTCCTGCGCGTTCAGAGGAGCTGTGTCTTCCCCAGGGTTGGTAAAGGTGCGGCGGGAAGGCTTCGGCACCACCCGCAGACTTTCAATTTGAAGTTTCCTGGTGACAGACCAGCCCCTTCTGCAGCCAGAGAATCGGCGTCGCTCGGTTCCAAAGGCTATCGCCCAGGCGTCCGTGACTCGGCGGGAGGCGCGCAGCTGGAGAGCCCGGCGCCCTTGCTTAGGGTCACCCGGGGCTCACGGGCCACAAGCTCGGAGGCACCCGACGGGGAGGCTCTACGCGGCCAGTCTGTCGCCTCCCGGAGGGTTTGGCGAAAGAATCCGTGCCGCCCTTGGGGACCGTCGAGCCCAAGGCGGGGACTCGGAGCCGCGGCCCGTCGCTTGCCTCGGGGGGAATGTCCCTTTCCCGACCCCACTGCCCCCACTAGGGCGGGCACACTCCGCCCACCTCCCCTCCTC